TGTTCTCCTGGTTTGGCTTGGACCATTGTTCATCTTTCTCATTTCTTCGTAAGCTTCTTTTTCTCTCCTTTAATTTTTTTTTTTTGTTTTCTTGATTGTTTCGATTTATTATGATTTCTTGTTGGTATTGTGAAAGTTGTAATTTATTAATTTATTTATTTAAAGTCTGGATCTTTAGGGTTTACTGTAATTGATAATCACCCAATCATAGTACAAGTATAAGAATTTATTGGGTTTTGTTTCTTGTTAAATAAATCTGGACACTTTTAGCTCTGTTTTAAGAAATTTATGTTAGTGGGGTACTGGGAACTTCCTTTTTGGATATTTTCTCTTGATTAATATAGGAAGAAATCTATTCACTTTTATTGAGTCACCCATATAAAATAAGGCAGAAATTGGGTTTTGAGTCTTACTTTCTTTCTCAAGATTGCAATATTGTACTTTGAGATGAATCTACCAAGATCGCACATGATCGTGTTTTATATTAACTTCAATGATTATGTTTATATTAAATTTAAATTACCTAAGATGGTCAAAGTAGAGTGTGTTTGAATAGTCCACAAGTCAAAGTATTGCAATTATTAATAAGGAGAGGAAGTATTAATTCGGAGTTAAACTTTTGAGAAGTTATTAGTGTTGGTGGGTTACTGATACTGCTCTGTATGCAGTTGCTAGCATAGTAGCATATCTTCTGAAAATTTGATGTTAAAAAGGGTTTCTTAGGTACTTAACTAATTAAGCACGATCATTTTCTAATGATCTTCACTAATTAAGACAAGATATCGCAAGACTGGGAATCAAGCTATTGGTGTATGAGCAATAATAGCATTACTGCATTAAGGAAGGAATTTGTGTATTCATGGAGAAATATTACTTTTGAAGATAGTACTCTGTCTTTTGTTCTTTACATTGAGTCGAAAACCAATAGAATCTTTCTTTGGATAAGTGAATCGCTAGGCAGCATGTCCATTATGCCCCTGGGAAGACGGAGAGTAACTAATAATGGATATGTTATCGGTGATGAAGTGTATGTAGATGAATATCTAGTCTAAGTGAATGTAACTAAATGAATAAAATTGGTAAATCTTTTACTAAATCGAGAAATTCATTTTCTCATCAAGTAAGCTATATCATGAAGATGACTTGTATAAGGATTTTCATGATGAATATCAAAAGCATCATCAGTTGTTGTCTCAATGTCAATGAAGAATTGTTGATTTCATATGACTTCACTTATCATGATGAATTCCCAAGCTTGTAGATCAGCCTTGCAAAACCAAACATCTCAGGCTCAGGTTATGCTTTCTTTCAATTTTTGATAAAATCCCAAAAAAAAAAAAAAAAAAAAAAAAGAGGGGGTTGTGCTTCTGAATGGAAGTAATTCTTGAATACAAACCATAGCACACACATGGTTAACAAGATACTTGTATGTTCTAATGCAGTATTGTCATTCTCATGGTTGAGTCAATTTATTTGTCTCACTTTTTTCATATTGCTCTTCATATAGACTCAGTTGTCTAGTGCTGTATGTATGCTTACTCTGAAAAACGTATAATCTTCCATGGAGCATATTATTCATGTGACACCTCTGCTCATGTCTGCATGCTTTCTGGGAGGAATAGTGTAGAAGCTTTATGTAGTCGGCTTGTTATTTTAGGGCACTAGAATTGTTTGTTTTATGATGATTGCTAGCTAACATATTCATTTCCATCATGTTGGATGCTTTGGCTAATAGCATTTTTTTCCTTGCCATTTTTCCCCACTGTTATGTTTCCTACATATCTCATTATCTGTTGACCAAAAATTTGAGTAATGCATTCAACTTTTGCTCTTCTGCTCAGGTCACTTATCATTTCTTTCATTGGAAGAAAGGCACACCATTTGCTGAAGACCAGGGCATCTACAATGGATTGACCTGGTGGGAGCAGATTGAAAATGGCCAGCAACTTACCCGCAATAGGAAATTTTTCACTGTTGTCCCTGTGTTGTTGTGAGTATATAAGCCATCATAGTTACCTTAAGAATGTGTTTACTCTTTAATTAAGTGTTTGACTTGTTTTCTACGAAGTATTAATTTTCCATCTTACTCTAAGGCAGGAACAAAATGTTTACAACTTTGTTAGATGGGAGGCTCTGGCAGTTATCTGTTTATTATCTGGTTGTGACAGAATGCAGAAATTATGAAATCTGTGCCCCTGATTATCTGTAAATGTGGCATTATATGCTTTTTACCTGTTAGGTGCTGTATTATTTCCGTACTAGCAATATATGCCCCCTTTTAGTTAGATTTCGCTTCAGCCTGGACACTTTTCTTTGTGCATAATGTTGAAATGGGGGAGGATATTTGTCTTCTCTCTCTATCTCAGTCCTATTTTTGTAAGCAGAAAGTTTATCTTTAAGAGAAGTACTGGAAAACAGCATACGGCATGATTGACATGTGCTGATGTGCATAGAGCTATGTTTCGAACACTTTGCTTTTCTATGAAAATTTTGGTCCAAAATGAATAATCAATTGTCCATTACCATGTTAGAGCATCGGTTGTCTCATTATCAAACGCTGATACTCGAAGTGAGTTACAGTCTGATTCACGAAGGAAAACAGTCTAATTAACTGCCTCTGTCAAGTTACTCCAAATATCCCTGATGTGTAGCTTTAGATCCTAAGTGTTTGTGTTGTAATTCAAGGAATTTTACATGATTATTTTTGCTGATCTTTTTTTCAATCAAATGCTTGATGGCTTTGTCTGTCTTAACTGCTCTATATGTTGAATTGCTTCATGCTTGGTTTGTTTTGATGGTACCCGGTGACTCTTATTATGAATGAATTGCTTTCTGTGAACATTTTGGTGACGTGGACAAATGTTTGATTGTGCCACCATCCACCAATCACCATTGCCATCTGCCACACTGTGTTTATCACTTACCTGCTGTGTAACTAAAGAGACTGAAAATAGTTATATTTATAGTTGTCGGAAGTTATAACTATGAACTCTCTTTTGTACCCTATGCTTGTAGAAGAAAGTTCTTATGTCTGTATCTTGCAGGTACTTAATTGCATCTCACACCACAGACTATCAGAATCCAATGCTTTTCTTGAACACTCTTGCTGTTTTTGTGCTTGTGGTTGCCAAGTTCCCTCGTATGCATAGGGTGCGAATTTTTGGGATCAACGGTGAACATTGATTAAAAGTTCTCTAAGTATAAAATTCCAGTCTCAGCTGCTGTAAGCCTGTAACTCTGTAGGATCCTTGATTGTTATGCACATATAGATTGTTTTATAGTGGAAAGGTGTATTTTAAACAAAATTTTGGCGAAGTGTTTATATTTAATTCCATTAGTGGATGTTTGTATTAACATTCAGATTTTGTTTGCTGATTACATGAACTAATTTCTTGTGAAATACATACCTTTTTCAATTCATGTTGGCATAACAGATAGGTAAAGCAATAGCCAATTGCAGACGTTTTGCACATTACACAGTTGTGAGATTCAGCTTATTTTGGGCTTGCTTATGACCTATACATCTTTGACGTATGCACTTGTTAGGGGTGTATATGAGCCGAGTGGAACTTGAAGGCACAGCTAGTCAGCTACGCAAGCTTGAACTTCAGCTGGAAGCTAATTAAGCTTTGTGAGATGAAGCTCGGCTTGGTCATCAAAAGCTTGGTTTGATATCTCTCTCTTGAAAGTATCAATTTTTTAAGGAAAAATTAACAATAATAATCCCAACTTTGCCTCGTTCGTCCAAAATAATCCAAACTTTTGATTATTTTTTAATAATCTGAACTTTAATATCAATTTGCTTTCAATGGTTCCAACCGGTCATCCAACTTGTTATAATAAGTTATTTGACACGTATCAGGACGTAATTGATCAAAAAAAAAAAAAAAATTTAAAAAAAAATATAAAATTAAATAAAAGTCAATTAATTAACTTTAACCACCACCTCCCTTGCAGCTCCAGCCACCCTCCAACACCACACTCCCGCTGACGCCAGGGATCCCTACCCCATACCCACCTCCCCCGCGCCGGCTGACAACGGTGCCGCCCTTCCCCTTACCCCTTGTCGTCGTCCGTCACCCCAAAACCCCTATCTCCCCTCGAAATCCTTGAAAAAAAACCTCCCCTGTCGCAATAACCCCCGATTTCCACCTCGCCCATTCTCGAAACCCTAGCGAATAGGGATTCACTGCCTCCGTATTAAGAATTCTCTATGTCAACTGTCAAGGTTGTTAGGATTACAGTGGTTTCAATCAAGAAAACACTTAAAACAAAGTGTGGGAACAAATCCTAAAATATGATTACAATATAAATGTAAATATCAAATACAATTCAATGTATCACAATCAAGTATCAAATATATCTAAGAAATTACTGAAAATTACAAAGATTACACTAGTGTGAAGATGATCAAACTTGCCTTTCCTCCAAGCCGTTAACTCCAAGCATGAACATGAGAAAACCGGTGTCCCCGTAAGACAAGTACCTTAATACACTGTCAAAGGCGTGTAAACACTTTCCTAAATAGGTTTAATTCCCCCACACGGTGCTTGGTTAAACCGGAAATCCTCTTTGAGATACAATTGACAGCAAATTTCGTTCTTAGCACTAGAATCGAAAAACAATGAATAATTCACTAAGATTGATTAAATTTCAAGTGTTTTTCTCACAAAAGTTTGCAAGAAGTTTGAGAGAAAAATGTGGAGAATTACTCTTGGGAAGAAAGAAAACTGATATTATTATCAAAACTTTCCTTCGTTTCTTTTGAAATAAAAGAACGAAAATCGCAACCGCCAGAGGGCCGCGGGCGCGGCATCCAGGGCCGCGGGCGCGGACAGGGTGAAAATGGATTTCACCAACTTTCTGGAGATGCCGGGCCGCACCCTAGGAGAGGGGGCTATCCGGATCTTCACATACACTCTATATATTCCAACAATCTTCCCCCATATAGAGTGTATCAACTTTTAAACCTTCTCCACTACTATCAATTTAGCCACATCTTATGCATCAATGTCAATGTCCCTACGGATTGAATTAACACCTAGTACAACACACTTAACGATGATCATATCCCATGATTTCCATATGGATTGAATCACACGGATATATCCAACCATTCGAAGGTGAAGTACACATAAGATAAATCGAATTAATCATCACTTGACACTTTTAAACAGCCATGTGTCCATATCTTTCATAAGTTCATCAAAGTCTATATGTCCATCTAGACTTTTTGAAGCGGCTAAACTTCGAAAATCTATAGGTAGGTTCTCATATACGTTATGGTGCCCTTGTTATAAGACACTTTCATTTAGAGCTTCTTAACTCTAAATAGACGTTACCTTACACATCACAAGTAACATAGCAATATGGGTCATCAAATATTGCTAACAAACAACAAATATGTAATTCAACCACATTGAATCTAAGACTTGATGTTTCTTCAAGCGTTAGATTGGGTTTCACAAATTTGTGTTTTTGGACATAAACTCATTCCATTCATGTCTTGGCATTGCCTTCGTAAAGCAATCCGTCAAATTCAATTTTGTTGGAACATAGTCAAGACTTATGACCCCATCATTGATAAGCTCTTTCACTAGGCTATGCCTAAGTGAAATATGCCGATACTTACCATTGTACACTTGACTATAAGCCTTTATCAACTCCGAATTGGAATCACAATGGATTGCCACCGGTGGCATTGACTTTGGCAATAAAGGTAATTCTATCATGAGATTCCTCAACCACTCAGCTTCTTCACTAGCTGAAGCAAGAGCTATAAACTCCGCTGCCATAGTGGAATCCACAATGCAAGTTTGTTTCTTGGAAGACCATGAAATGACACCTCCCCCAAACATGAATACCCAACCACTTACAGAAGAGTCATCCTCTTTGTCAGTGATCCAACTAGCATCCGAAAATCCTTCTAAAACCGAAGGAAATCCACTATAAGTTAGACCATAATCTAACGTACTCTTAAGGTACCTCAAGACCCTCCGAACTGCAAACCAATGTTGTGCACCCGGGTTACTAGTAAATATACTAAGTTTTCTCACAACCAATGCAATATCAGGTCTTGTACTTGTCATGGCATACATCAAGGATCCAATTATCCTTGAATATTCCAATTGGGAAACCGTTTTCCCTGAATTCTTAACCAATTTAAGTATTTAACATTAGGTTCCATGGGGGTGTTCACGGGACACTTATCAAACATATTAAACCGTTTGATCATCTTCTCAATATAATGAGATTGACTTAAGATAAGTCTTCCATTGTCCCTAATAATCTTGATGCCCAAAATGACATCCGCCTCCCCCAAATCCTTCATCTGAAAAGATGAGGATAAGAATTCCTTGGTCAATTCTACTTGTTGTAGACTTGTACCAAAGATCATCAACATATAGACAAATGATGACACCATGACCTTTGTCATCAAATTTGCTATAAATACACTTATCAGCTTGATTCACTTTGAATCCAAAGGACAAAATCATGTCATCAAATTTTCGATGCCACTGTTTTGGTGCTTGTTTAAGTCCATACAATGACTTAACCAATTTGCACACCTTATCTTCTTGTCCTTCCAAAATAAACCCTTCGGGTTGTTTCATATACACTTATTCCTCTAGATCTCCATAAAGGAATGTCGTTTTGACATCCATTTGATGAATCACTAGATTATATACCGAAGCCATTGCAATCAATAACCTTATGGAGGTAATTCTTGCAACCGGTGCATAGGTATCGAAATAATTAACACAATACTTTTGCCTAAAGCCTTGGATCACCAATCTGACTTTAAATTTCACTATGGAGCCATCCGGTCTCTTTTTATTAGTGAAAATCCACTTGCAACCAAGAGGTTTGCAACTGGGAGGTAAATCCTCTATGACCCAAGTATTATTTCCCATGATGGAATCCATCTCATCATTTATAGCTTCCTTCCAAAATGCACTATCTTGGGAAGATATGGCCTCGCTATAAGTCTTTGGGTCACTATCCACATTGAAACAATATGGAGTAGTGGAACTAAGGACATCCCTAGACCCTTCAACTAAATATATTATGAAGTCATCTAGAGGATTCCTAATTTTCCTTTCCCTAGAACTTCTCCTCACTTGAAGAGTTTCAACATTCTCATTATCAAATGTACTTTCATGAGTTTCAAGTTGATCATTCAACTCTACTATCTCCCTATCATTGGCACTGGTCTGTAGATCTTTCGGTCTACTCATTGATGAAAATCGATTTTCATCAAAAATTGCATCTCTTGACTCAATAACCGTATGAATCGATATATAGTCATTTTATTCTATTACATAGAACCTATAGGTTTTGTTATGCTCAGCATAACCTATAAATATGCAATACAAGCCCCTTTCACCGAGCTTTCTTTTCTTGTTTCCAGGCATTCTCACGATTGCCCTACAACCCCAAACCTTGAGATACTTCAAGTTTGGTTTTCTTTTGTACCAAAGTTCATAAGGAGTAGATTCTTTTCCCTTAGTGGGAACCCGGTTAAGAATGTGACAAGCTTTCAACATTGTTTCACCCTAGAACCCTTCACTCAAACCAGAGTAAGATAACATGGAATTAACCATTTCTTCAAAAGTTCTGTTTTTCCTTTCAACTACACCATTTGATTGTGGTGCATAACCTGCTGTAGTCTCATGAATTATACCCAAAGATTGGAAATAAGTTGGATCATAATATTCCCCTCCCTTATCAGTTCTATTTCTCTTAATTAATGATTCTACTTGCAGTTCTACTTCTCTTTTATAAACATCAAACTTTGTTAAAGCTTCATCTTTGGAATGCAAAAGATACTCATAACAGAACCTAGAAAAATCATCTATAAAAGTAATCATGTATCTTTTGTTCCCCAAAGAAGGAGTACTATGAAAATCACACAAGTCACTATGGATCAGTTCTAAAATATTAGAACTTCTCTCAACTCTCTTAAAAGGAGTTCTAGTGATCTTGTTCAACATGCAAGTAGAACATTTATTAGGAGAAATATCACAAGAAGGAATCAATTCTTGCTTTGACATGAAAAACATTTTATTGTAATTCACATGTCCTAACCTTGAATGCCATAAATCAAACAAATTCAAATCAACTTGATTAACATTGTCAACAACATTCAAACACATATCATCCATAACACAACTCTCTCTCAATGAGAGTTTAAACAAATCATTATCCAAATAACAACAACCTATGAATGTTACACCCCTAGTAATTATGCATCTATTAGCTTCAAATACAAGCTTATAGCCAAGACTATTCAGGGTAGGCCCGAATACAAGATCCCTACTAATTTCTGGAGCATACAAAACATTCCTAAGAATAATTGCAGTCCCCGAACTAAACACAAGCTCAACTTGTCCTCTTTCAAGAACCTTGATGGTAGAGTTGTTCCCCATGTAGAGGTCTTCTCCATCAACAACCTTTTGAAAGGTTTAGAACCAGTGTTTACTCTTGCACACATGCCTTGAAGCCCCCGAATCAATCCACCATGAGTCATCATCCTGCACCATAAATATGTAAGGATCCGTTGCATTTAAATCCAAACCGGAATTAAATTCAACCTCATGAATTGGATTACCTTTGGTGGGTGGGTCCTTGCTATCAGTAGCACAACCCTCCTTGGCTTTCTCCATCCTTTTCTTGAAAGAAAAGCAGTCTTTCTTGCGGTGACCAACTTTACCGCATTCCTAACAAACAAATTTGTTATTATTTCCTTGCTTTTTGGACTTTCCTTTTGAAGAATTATTATTCTTCCTCTTTCCACTAGTAGATGCACTAGTTCCCCCTTCATCTACCATGTTCACGGTAGATGTGCTAGGATTTCCATCCTTAGCTCCTTCCATGGCACGAATCCCTTCTTCAATTTGAAGATGGGTGGCCAAACATTCTTCCATGGCATGAATCCTCCTTCTTATGTTTCTAGTCATGCTTAACATTCTTCCAACTAGGGGGTAACTTATCAATAATACTAGAAACAACAAACAACTCACTCATGGCTATTCTATGTTGTTCCAAGCTACCATAGATACGTTACAATTCATGAAATTGGTCCATTATGGACCGACCATCAACAAATTTAAAATTATTAAAATTGCTAACTAAAAATTTCTTACTTGAAGCGTCTTCCGCCATATACTTGCTTTCTAAGGACTCCTAAATCTCCTTAGCCGACTCAATATTTTGATTATACATCAAATAAATCATCCTTCATACCATTCAAGGTATGACCACGACAAATAAAATCATCGTTGTCCCATTTCGATGTTTCCCGAATGTTCTCCAAGGTCTCATTCTCATGTTCACCCGGCCTTGGAGTACTTATCACATAGGCAACATTTAGAGATGTAAGAAGAAAATTCATTTTCTTCTTCCACCTTCTAAATTCAACACCATCAAACTTCTTGAGTTTGACAAAATTTGTTGTTAATTCTTTCACACTAGACATACTTGATAAATTTTAAATTAAACCTCTTTAGATTGTTAGGATTATAGTGGTTTGAATCAAGAAAACACTTAAAACAAAGTGTGGGAACAAATCTTAAAATATGATTACAATATAAATGTAAATATCAAATACAATTCAATGTATCACAATCAAGTATTAAATATATCTAAGAAATTACTGAAAATTACAAAGATTACACTAGTGTGAAGATGATCAAACTTGCCTTTCCTCCAAGCCGTTAACTCCAAGCATGAACATGAGAAAACCGGTGTCCCGTAAGACAAGTACCTTAATACACTGTCAAAGGCGTGTAAACACTTTCCTAAATAGGTTTAATTCCCCCACACGGTGTTTGGTTAAACCGGAAATCCTCTTTGAGATACAATTGACAGTAAATTTCGTTCTTAGCACTAGAATCGAAAAACAATGAATAATTCACTAAGATTGATTAAATTTCAAGTGTTTTTCTCACAAAAGTTTGCAAGAAGTTTGAGAGAAAAATGTGGAGAATTACTCTTGGGAAGAAAGAAAACTGATATTATTATCAAAACTTTCCTTCGTTTCTTTTGAAATAAAAGAACGAAAATCGCAACCGCTAGAGGACCGCGGGCGTGGGTGCCTGGGCCGCGGGCGCGGGCAGGGTGAAAATGGATTTCACCCAACTTTCTGGAGATGCCGGGCCGCATCCTGGGCTCTCCTCAAACCCGCGGGTGTGGCTATCTGGCTCTCCACATACACTCTCTATATTCCAACAAAGGTGACTATTTTACAGTTCCCTCACAACATAAATTTTTTTATCGAAATTTTAAACATTGCATAAATACGCAAATTGCTATTAAAAAAATACAATATAATGCACACAACCCTATGACATTAGCGCCAATTGCTATAATTCTCTCTAAAGAGCTAGCCATTTCGCGCACATCACACACGTTGGACCCACTAGTAAGGTAAAAAGGGAGTCATCTAAGGGGAGGAGATAAAGGGAAATCTCCCTAAAATCCCCCATGAAATTTGATCGATAGAATAGAGGGATCTGAAAATGGAAACGATGTCACTACTCCAAGTTGTTTGTTGTAGCCCTTGTAGTATTGAACTAGATCCCACAAATGGACTTGTGTCTCTTCCAACCGATTTCCTTCAACATTAAGAAATTCGTATGATTTTTCGCAAAATGCATGGCTTCTACTAATAATACTTGTAATTTCTTATGATTGTTGTGGTTGCACGTGTTAGCCTGTTAGGTGAGCATGGCCTACTCTAGTTGCAACGCTCAAAAGTAAAGCTATGTGTGTTCAGTTTGGAGTTACTATAGTGTAAATTGGCTCTCAATCACCAAGTTTTTCAATTTAGCTTGGAGTTCTAGTGTTCTACCTATTTACTTTTTCTATGAAAGCATATATATGAGAACGGGTTGTGCTCCGACAAGCATCTCAATCGCTCTATACCATGAAGAAAGCGAACATAGTTCATATATTCACTTAAATCAATTCAAAATAAATATAGCTTCAAAAACAAAGAGATTTTCGATTTATTCTAGACAATTCCATAATGAAGTAACAAAATTAAGGCAACAAAATTTGTCAAATCTCATCTATTTACAAATCTTTTTATCTTCATGCTCCAGTCTTAAACTTATTTTCTTTAACCCCTGTCTTATCGTTAATTTTACGAAGTAGTATACTACGACTACCTTTAGTTATACGCACCTCTACTTTATTCCATACTCCGTATTTGACAAATCGGGTTGATAACCGACACCAAAACTATTTGGAGTAGACTATACATTCTTATACGGCTACACCGTGTGGACTTTGAAGTTAATTGCACAATTTCACTTCAATTCTTATTTTAAGCACAGTTTGTTGAGCACCTGAGCCAATCCACAATAAATATACTTGTATAATTGTATTTTCGTACAAGATTAATCTTACCCTAAACTTAGAAATCAAAATCTTCTTATATCCTTTACTTGATATATATAGTTTACACAATTCTGCCAAAAAAAAAAAAAAAAAAACCCAGAAAAATTGCAGAAGAAAAATGGAGAAGAAATTGATGTATGTGAGAGCAGAAGCATCGAAAGAAGTGAATAAGAATACAGAGTGGATGACATATCCAGGTGTATGGACTACCTACATTCTCATTCTCTTCTTCTCATGGCTTCTTGCTCTCTCTCTCCTTGGTTGTTCTGCTGGCATGGCTTGGACCATTGTTCATCTTTCTCATTTCCTCGTAAGTTTCTCTCTCCTCCCATTATTTTTTTAGGGTTTAATTTAACCCCCTTTTCCCGATTTCCTTGATTGAATTTTTGTTTGTTTTTTCTGGATTTGGATCTCTGTTTTCTGGGTCTCTGATTAATCAAGGATTAATGGGTATATTTGGTTGTATTTGATGATAAAGAAAAGAGGCGCAAAATTGGGATTTTGGTTGTTTGAATGTATGGGAATTAGGGAAGATTTGTGTATTTATGTGGAAGACATAGTTTTAGAATGGTATAAACCCTAAAAAAATTCTGCCTCGGGGAAGTAGATTGGCTTAATGTTGTTTGATGAAGGATGGGTTATGAATGATTATGGTCGCTTGGTGAGATTATGTGGGATTCAATTTGCTGAGTAAACAAAACCCAAGAAATCTAATTACTTGATCTGAAAATTGTATATTGGTCAAGTAAACTGTGCCATAAAGGTGACTGATTAACTGAAATTCGCGGGTTTTGGTGATCGCGGTGTCATGGCAATTGCTGATTTATTTTGACTTTGGTTATCATGATCAGATTGCCTTGCAAGTTCAATTATCCTGAGGTTCATGAGCCTGACTAATCATGTGTTCAATTGCTCTTTATTTAAACTCAACTCAACTACCGACAGTTATACTGAATTCTGCCATTGCTTATATCTCTTCTGTGCCTCCTCTGGCTCGTGTCTTCTTGATTTCTGGGATTACTATTAGATGCATTTGTAGTTTCATAGTTTTTTAGGGAATTATACTGTTTGCTCTATGCTGTTTGATTTTTGTTCAGTTGCAATGCAAAGAGTGTCTGGATATTTGAATGGCAATAAACTAGGTTGGTTGGTAGAAAAAAAAAATCTACATATCTCTCGACCATGTTATAGTAATGCATTCCACTTTTGCTCTTTCACTCAGGTCACTTATCACTGCTTTCATTGGAAGAAAGGCACACCATTTTCTGATGATCAAGGTATCTACAATGGGTTGACTTGGTGGGAGCAGATTGAAAATGGCCAGCAGCTTACTCGGAATAGGAAATTTCTCACCGTTATTCCTGTGGTATTGTGAGTATCTTTATAATCATATAAACTCTAAATGTCAGATATATAGAACGGACATGTGTAATGAGAAATGAGTCTATCCCAAGTGTTCGCCTTGTTTGTTTTGTATGTTGTATTCCTGTGCTAGGGGTGAAGCCAAGTGATTTACTTTTTAGGGGGCCGGGGGAGGGGTTGGTGCTGGAGCTCAAAAGGGTAGTGTTCAGCTGTTAGCCATTTAGAGAAGAAAATACAAGGTTGAGGAGGCTTGAACATGCGTCTTTTGGGTAGTTTAGGATATGATTGATATTCAAGCAACCATTATGCCAGACCCAGTTTGCAATCTCAAGCTGATATTTTATATATGTATTACAGAAACTCGCAGGGAGTCCCCTGTTAATCCCTTCCGTATATTTGTCCTTGCTCTGTGCACAATCAACTTTTCCACCTTACTAAGAGGCAGGACCGCAGGAACAAATGTTTTTCAACTTTACAGTATCTGCTGCTTATCTGGTTGTGACTGAAGGCAGATATCTGGCAAATGCTAAGCCTTTGTCAGGTGTGGTAGCATTGGTTGCCCCCTCTTAGTCATTCGATTCACCTAGAGTCACAGTTCTCCTAGTTGCACTTATTTGGTGCAGCAGGATGGTTTTATTTCAATCTCCTAGTGATTGTACTTGTAAGCAGAGACTCCCACAATATATTATTTATACAACACAATTACTCATACCAAAATACTCATGGTTGATCCACCTTTAAAAGTTTAGGCTGGTGTCGTACTGGAGTAGAAAATAAGTCCTAATTGAGATTTTAACAAGTTATGGTACGGACTTGGCTGTCATATGAATATTTTGCATGTTTGGGGTCCTAAATGAAGTGTCAAGTCTCCAGTTCTCCATCCCATGTTGGAGTATCAAGTGCTTGACACAGATTCTTGAGGTGAACTACTGAGTTGGATTATCCAAGCAACATATAAAGGTCAATTAACTTCAAGTGTGTAACGGTTTGGGCAGTGTAATCCGAGAAACATTTTTTTTAGTTATCTATTCATCAGCTCTAAGATTGAGGATTCGTTTGACTTTGTCTGTCGTGTATGATATGAAGCCTATAGTTTGTTTCTTTAAAAGTGATATAGTAAATTCTTTTGTGCTTGGTAGTTTTGATGGCTACAGATAATATTAAGCTGTCACACCATTATGATTTGATAGATTTTTGTGAACATTTTGTTGACGGATGCAATTGTTTGGTTATCTCACCATTTGCCATCTGACTCAGTGACTAACAGCAAGTTTTTCTTTCCTCTAGTTTGAGCTAGAGGGTTTGGTGGTTTTAATATGTCATTTATATGTTGCTTGGTAATGGAACACTGTAGTTGTTAGAAGTTACTACTGTTTTTTTTTTTTTTTTTTTGAACGGAGAAGTTACTACTGTTGAACTATTGCTTATGTGTGAAATTAGTTGTCAATTTGTCATACATATTGCCCAGCCTCTCACATTCAAGGATATGGTGTGATTTATAAAAAGTAACTTTTTTTTTTTTTTTTTTTATAAGATTATAAAAAGTAACCTTTAATACAAGGTGTTATTTCTATCCTTCTTCCATCTCTTAATTAAAGTAATCGTATGTTAGAAAATCTAATCAGAGTAATTTGAAGGATATGCTTAGTATTAGAATATCCATTTATCATTCATTACTAATTACAGCACAAGTGACAGCCTTTTCCACCTTTTCCAGATATTTTATCATAGTACTTCATACTTGTATTTGTTGATTCCAAAGGGGTATCTCTTGAGTAACTTTGCTTGTAGAACAAAGTATTTACCACGGATGTCTATTTTCTCACAGGTACTTGATTGCATCGCACACAACCGACTATCAGAACCCAATGCTTTTCTTCAACACTCTTGCAGTTTTTGTGCTTGTGGTTGCCAAGTTCCCTCATATGCACAGGGTTCGTATATTTGGAATTAATGGAGAAAACTAATCAAAGATTCTCTGTTTAAACACTTCCATAGTCTGCTATTGTATGATTCTTAATTGTTTTGCATATAATGGTGTCATTTTTATAATGGAAAGGGTGCATATCCAAAATTTTGGCTAAGTGGTCAATGGCAATATAAATGTCTAGCGCAGCTTTTACGCTTTCTGGACGGCCTTTGTCTGATTGCATGAACTTGTTCCTCATGAAATAAACATGTTTGTCTATTTATGTCAGCATCAAAGGATAGAATAGGTGAAGCAATATCCATATGTAAATGTGTTTTCCCTTGTCACAGGCGATCCGCAAATTTAGCTTTTGATTATTTTAGGCTTGACAATGTCCTTTGTTGTATGGAAGTTAGGGTGTAAAAGGGCCATACTAGAACTCGAATATGCACCACGTCAGAAAGCTTGAACTTGAGCTAGAAAGCTGGTTGTGCTTCAAGACTCAGGAGCTTACCAGCTGATCTAAAATAGAAACGAACCTGTCCCATAAAATTAAAGTCATAAGTTGAGAGTTGCTCATCCTCTTTTATCGACCATAATACAGTACTATTAATTTAATAGACAGATATAAAAGGTGCACTGAACATTTTTCCATTAGAGAAGAGGATTGATCTTTCGTTATTTTCAGAGCTTTGAAATTAAAAAATGATGAATCTAATTATAGGATCATATGAGAAGTCTTTTTATGGTGAGATTAAATCTTACAATTATTGTTTTCCTTTATTTTTTGTCAATGTCCTCCATCTTCTTCTTATTTCTGGACATTCTTGATTCTTGTGATCGATTAATTTCATCAACCACTAAAAAATGAAAAACAATGCAAGCTTGAAGAAAAACCGAGGAATTAACGACACTAACAATGATCCAATCTCACTCGTTAATAAATCTCTTACCTCGATTTCTCACTCGTCAAATTTTCCCCAAGTTATTTCCTCCTAAAACTCGAACCCTATCCAGATTCATAAATTAATCGTATTATTTTCTCTGCAATGATCGAGAATGGTGTAATTTGGTGGCGATATTGCCGTATTTGTCGTAATTCGTATTCAATTTACAGTAGGAACAATGGTGGATATCGTCAATGGAGAATGTGGGCATGAGGGATTTTATTTTAAATGTGTATCAAATTGCTTCTTATGGTGTTCATTGTTTTTATAATACCAATGTGCCTATGGTGTATCGTTAATGTATTTTTAACGTGTTTCCAATGTATTTGTATTGTGTTTCCAATGTATTTGGGAATCTATATGAAAGCTTAACTTCCCCATTATCTACCCATTAGATCAGTCTTTCTTTAGTGATCTAGCTAAGCGTTTCTTAAGCTAAAGGGTTGTTTGACAATCGGCTGTTAGCTTGTTTGACTAGCTGCAAGTATTAGCTGTATAAATTGACTTTTTAAGTTAGTTGTTTAAGCCAGCTGTTTACAAAAGTATTTGGTAAAATAATTTATGGCTGTTAGCTGTTTATTAGTGATAAAGTGGACCAATAAGCCAATAGAAAAAGCTACTCCTATTAGCTTTTGGCTTTTGGCGGAAAAGTCAGCTTAAAAGCCAACAAAAAAGCCACCTACCAAACATATTTTTTGGCTATTTGATCAATTAAAAAGTCAAAAGTTAGGCAAAAAGCGAATTGCCAAACAGCAAACACCCCCTAAGTATGGACATACACACTTTAATGTTTTACGGTGATTATTATGTATGTATTCAAGTTTGTCTCTATACATAATTTTCCATTTAATACCGGTATAAACTGTAAAAAAAAAAAAAAAAAAAAAAAAAAAAAAAAACCTATGGTATAAACATAAAATTCATATAAATAACAATTAGTTTCTCCATTCCATAATGATGCTATAGGTTTTTCTATAGGCTACATCGATGTTTAAAAAAATAAAAAATCTTGTTGTGAATCTTTGGCTCTTAGGTCCCAAAATTATTCCCCATCTATTATCATAAGATAATTTTAATGTCCGATGTATCCTCATACATCCCTTTCACGGAACAACTACAATCTTATTTAAGGGGAGTAATCATGTAGATCAATTTTTTTGACTGTAAGGCCATGTTCACTTCACTTTTAAAAAATAATATTAAGTAAAAATAATTTTAGTTCAGTAAAAATAATTTCAATTTAGTGAAAAATAAGTTCAGTTCAGTAAAATTCAGTAACTTTAAAGAAGAATTATAATAGAAAATCAGTAAAAATAATTTCAGTTCAACAAAAATAATTTCAGATCAGCAAATTAATTTCAGTTCAGTTAAAATAATTTAAGTTCAGCAAAAATAATTTCAGTTCAGTAAAAATAATTTCAGTTTAGCAAAAATAAGGTGAAGTGGACTGAGCCTAAGAAAGATAATTGGTACTCGTATAAGGTTTATGACAAAAACATTGAACAACTAAAATGGATTTTTTTTTTTTTTTTTTTTTTTTTTTTTTTTTTTTTTGGTGAGGACAACTGAAATGGATTTAACAATATATACCATTCCCTCTAATCCATTTCATTCTTCCCATATGTAAAGTTTTCGGGTGACAAAAATAGTGAAAAAGGAAAGAACAAAGAAGATTAGAGGAATAGTGAATTAGTGGAGTAAAATATAAATCAATAAAAATAAGTTTTAATCAGTAAAAATCAATTACAAATTTACAATCAATTAAGTTCGTGTTGTTTAAATCATACTCGGTATTATCAAGTTCGCATCAATAATTATATACGAATCAATTGAGTGTAGGGGGACCTAATATTAATTGATAGAAAGCCAAATATCTTTACAAAATCTTATCGCCCTATCCCCGTAGTTCCAAAGCTGAAAGCATCAGCGTAGACTGTTGAGCATATAAAGCATAAGGAATCCAACTTCATTGATATGTAAAATCACAGCTTTTTCCACTTTGATTATTTTGTCTCACTTTACCTATCATTACTAATATTTATATTGACTAATTATCTTACAAAAATATATATTTTTTTCTATACGTGATTAATTGTCAAATATTATCGATCTTCAAATGTTATAATCAAATACTTTATTATAAAATATATAAACATAAACCCACTTGATACATATAGTATCATACTTCGTATGAGCATTAATTTTCACTTAATATAATTAAGTCAAAGTCTAATGTATAGATTAATAGATGATTATATAAAGTCGTAAAGAGTGTTTGCCCTTTGGTAGTTACAAAGAGTAAAAATTAGCAGAAAGGTGCAATTTAGAAATTAATATAATGTTACAATGAGTTCTAGAACGATTATTGACAAACCACCTTTTATCTTGTATCATAACTTTTCCTTGATTTCGTTTTAACTAAAGTTCAATTATACGAGACATACTTAAGTATTCTTCATTGGAATTAATCCTAGTTCTCTTCATTGACACCCAAACTAAAGTCTATGATCTCTTAATCATTCCCTCGATTGGCTGACTCTCTTAATAATAGAGCTGATGGATAGAGTTTTATTAAGTCTTTAACAAGTTCAATTGTTCAAATGTGTGCAATCTTATCCCTTAGAAAGGTCAAGCATCTTTTTTACTAATCTATAAGATGTATTCTAAAGGACTTTATTCCGACCAATTATATGAAATATTTCTAACCCTATGGGTTATATACAGTTCCCGCTCATTGATCTTTTCTATCAACCTATCGTGGTATCTCGTAGCTTCTTCAAAAAGGTAAAAAGGAGACAATTATCGACTTAAAAAAGACCTACTTCATCTAGCTACCAGGTAGAGATGTCAAATAATTCTCGATCTGACCCGAACCCGGCCTAGTATTTGAATTAACGCCTCTAAGTATCAGGTCGGCTTTCAGCATTGTGCGTGGTGGTTATCATGGTGTATGAGTGGTCATGGACTGATGGGTTTGGAAATGACTATTTTGCCCTTATCCTAGGATTTGTTAAATTATCCTCTATTCCCAAGTCCCGAACTACTTCCTTAGTCTTTATTTGTTTGCCTCATATTCAATTTTGAGTTTTCCCTAAAAATTTGTCTTAAGTAAGGCCCTGTTCTTTTGAGCTGCTCTGCTCTGTTAAAATATGCTCTACTCTGCTAAAATATGCTCTACTCTGCTTGCCCAAAAGCTAAAAAAAACAAGGCCTAACATGCATATTCGTAACATTTACCACAATTGTACACTCACTCACACAGGTGAAAAAGACAAAGACATTCCCATTCATTTGCAAAATTTTCGATTAACAATTCTTGTAATTACCCGTAATATGGAGTATTACATATTACACATTTTACATATAGGGCAAATAAAGAGTGATGGAGAGAGTAGTTCTGAATGCTAGAAAAATTAATGTTGATTCCCAATACAACAAACCAAAATCAGCCTTCTGGCCATTCTCTCTATTATTTTTTTTTAGTACGTACGACTCATAGGACGATAGGAGACTAGAGTGCTAAACTTGAAATGTACGTACTAGAAACATTTGTCTCCATTTGATCAAACAGATATTCGACCTTAGGTCATAAAACCTCTAAAAAAACAACCATTTTTCAGAAAATAGCTAAACACATACAATAAAATTGCATGTTGAAGCTGTCTTTATTACCAGAAATACAAATATTCTTGTTATCAGATAATCATATAATCCTCCATATATAATTTGTAAACAAAAAATCCTGGAAAATGAAAATGAAAATGCAATGCAGTGGAAATGACAAGACAAACCCAAGGAGTAAGAAACAAGAAAAAGCAACTCCCCATGAATTCATCATCATCATGAGGTGGGGAACTGCATATCATGTTGCATGCCCCTCTCTCTCTCTCTCTCCACAATTTCCCACTTGTTACGCGCAACATTAACTGGTGGATAACAGCAAACAAATACACACTTTCTACATTAATACCCACAGGACAGTAAGGGACGGTCTTTCCTACTAACTCGAGTCAGATTGACCTATATAAGGATTTAAGAAACCTATTTGATGGCCGAGCGCTTTTCTTTCAAAAAAAAAAAAATACTAGTGACTAATAACGGGGTATATACTAGTACTGTATAATAATATTGATTGTATGTTGTATAAGTTTAATTATAATATAATTAGGATATAAAAAAATTAAATTATCATATTAGAAGGTTTAGATCTAGATGGACCATTAAGTGGGCAAGATTATTCCTTTAGGCACACTACCCTAGGAGAATGTTTGTGGGTCCCAGCGAGCACCCCCTGCCCACCTGTTAGACCAAAAAACAGGAGGGTCTTTGTCAGATCTTTCACTCAATCACTAAAATATACAAAATGAAATTTTTTAAATAAATAAAAAAAAAAAAAAATGTTGATATTAATTACTCAAAATCCACACTCAATAGGAATAGTATTATGGGTAGTGGTACTTGTTGAGCCAAGGGAGGAAGGAAAATGACTAGTGTTTGGATATAGAAATTTAGTAGGTGAAACCAGCATTATAAATTTACATTTGTACATATTTGAACTTGTGATTTGATGATAGTGGAGCTAGTACTAGTAGTGGTGGTTCGACTATGTAATTAATAACAGTACCCACCAGATAGATATAGCGTTCATCACTAAATTATACGGTCTTCTCGGAAAAGATATATCATCCCCAAATCTAAAAATGCACAACAAAATAAGACTTACACTTAATTATATAACTTCAAAGAGAGAAGAGCTGTCTAACATCAAAGACACTAACACTTTATTGGAAAGCCCCATGTGAAGTCATGAGAATTCATACCTGGGATTTTAATTGGTTTTTTATGGGCTTTAGTTGCTTTATTTAAGCTCCTTTCATTATCATGGACAAACTATGCTTTAATTAATAGCTGCAAAAAATCTCACACTTGACCTTAAAAATGGGGCCTCCTTGTTATTAAACCTCCTAGCATGAACTCATATAAGAAGGGAAAGAGAATACAAATACAATCATATTGTCGAGCACACATCATCTGACCTCCACTTTTATTTTTATTTTTTTCTCTTTTTGTTTTTTAATTTTTTGTTTTTCAAAGAAAAATCATTTTGGAGATCTGTACATGCTTATTTAGATAATCATATATCATCATTAAAAATTTCAAAAAACATCAATAAAAACGGTGAATAAAACAAAAGCATAGAATTTTATCATTAATTATGACTAATAGTAATTAATTCATTAATTAATTAGTATCCACATACAAACCCTTTGATCAAATTAAACAACTCTCAACACAAAAACTACCAAATTATAGTAATTAAATACAGTGATAATTAAACTATTTTCCTCCATATATAGCAAGCCAACCAATGACACTAAGACACTGATGCAACATCATCTGGGAAAATTCCTCTTGCAATACAAGACAAACACCATAAGCTAAGCTAATTAACTTTGCTTAACATGGTATATGGGCAAAGCCCCTCAAAAATTATGGGCTTTTCCTTTTTTTTTTTAGGCAAAAAACTATATATATATATATATATATATTTTTTCCCCCACTTCAAAATCCCACAATGATCAGAAATTTAATTAACAAGCTAATCAGAAATGAAGAGGAATCATAATCCCATATTGTATCCCTATTATCTGTTAGCAAAAAAAAAAAAAAAAAAAAAAAAAAAAAAAAACCTTCAAAACAAGTCATATCAGATATCACCCCATTAAGAAAATCTAAAAGAACAAAGGAGATAGATCAGATTTAAGAGATTAAAAACAAGAAAATTAATTAAAAGAAAAAAAAAACATATTAATTACTCCATAATTTGTGCAAATCTTGAGTAAAGCTACCAAGATCCTCCAGAACCCAACATGCCACTCCAATACCCAGGTGTTGAATCATCTCCTTGTTCACCATTTTGTTCATGATGATTATCACCACTATTATTATTATTATTATTATTATTGTTAGTACTATTATTATTAGTAGTATTATGATCACCACTAGTAGATTGCTTTAAATCTTCAAAAGGAAACAAAAGCCTTCCATTAGCTGTTTGTTGTTGTTGATGATCAGATACTACTTGTTGATGTTGGTGCACTTCTCCTTGTCGTAAACTCCCATACCCATCTCCAAGCCCTTCAACTAGTGAAAAATTCAAACTTGGCTTGTAATCTTGTAAGGGAAACCCGGATGGATAGACACCGCCGCCGCCACCACCACCACCAACACCAACACTATTGCCATTGGGATGATCCGGGACCGGAACCGGCATCGGCATGAAGGGAGTTAGTCCCCTAGAGGATGTAAGACCATTCAAAAGCTCCAAAGCCGAAAGATGATGATTAGTAGCAGCACTACTACCATCAGTACTATTATTATTAGTATTAGTAGTAGTATTGGCAGAATTTGGAATTTGGGTTTTTGTAGTTTCAATACTAGGCAATTGCATGAATTCAGAAAGACTTCTGAATTCTTGCTGATTTGGTGGAAACCCCAAGTTTAAATCTTGACCTTGATGATGCAAATTATGAAGCTGTTGATGATGATGAGGGTGGATCTTGTTATTAGGGTTTTGATGAACAAAATGATGTGATTGTTGTTGTGCAGCAACCAAATCATGAGAAGAAAGCTTTTTCGACGACGATGATGACAACGCTGAAGTCGATGATCTATTGTTCTTCCTAGAACCACCACCAACAGGGATATTTCTCAAAGATCCGCCTTCGGTCCAATACCTTCTACAAGTCTTGCAAAAGTACCTTGGTTGAGTAAGGCTGTAATTGTTGTAGTAGCAAAACTTGGTGTTGGTTGAATTGCACCTCGGACAATTTACGGCATGATCTTTTTGAGGCCTTACTTTCCTCTCCAAAGAAGTAGAACTCGGTTTCGAATTGTTGTTGTTATTGTTATTACTACTACTGATATTAGTGTTGATGTTTGTAATTTGGGTTGTAGCTGAGGATGAGCATGTATTGGGGATCATTTCTTCCATTGGTTTCACTAATATCTCCTATAACACACACAAAAAGTTGCCAAAAGATTAAAATTAAAGTGACCAAAAAAGAAAGAAAATAAAAGGTAAAGATTGTTTAGCTTCAAGATCCAACAAAGTTAGTCAAAGCAAAAACAAATTAAGATGAAGACAGGTGACATACAACCAAAACAACAAACCCCAACAAAAAAAAAAAAAGAAAAGAAAATTCACTTTTGCAGAATTATAGCAGCAGTAGCAGCAGATGATATGATAATAATAACAAATTAATCCTTTTTTCCTAGCCAAAAATAAAGAGATGAACACTTTATTTCTCTTTTTATAATTTATACAAGTATAAAATCTCAAACAAATTACTTGTATATTACAAAAGAAAAAAAAAACACAAGAAAAACAAAAAGGTAATAAAGATCTAATCTTATTATCTACCAAAAAAGTGGAATATATACCTGAGGCCATTGAGCGGTGTCCATGAATAGATGAAGAAGAAGCAGAAGACCCAAAAAAAAAAAAAAAAAGTGGAAGAAAAAAATGGTGTTTAAATTAAGATTAAAAGTAGAGGTGAAATTGTTTGTTTTTTTGAAAAAGGAATGTCTGAAATGAGTTAGGTTTCTCTCTCTATGACTAGAAGTTGTTTGTCTGCGTTTGGATGGATGAGTGTAGTGTGTGTGTGTGTTTGTGTGAGAGAAATTAAAGTGATGAGAGAGAATTGAATTGAAGAAGAGGCAAATAAATACTCCTTTTTTTTTTTTTTTTTTTTTTTTTGGTGATGGATTAAATTTATTACAAGCCGCACAGCAAGAATATTTGTCTCTGCCAATTTGATTTTGTTTAATTCAGTTTAATTTAAGTGTACTTTTTTTTTCCCTCCTTTGTTATTCTAATGGATACAAGTTCTTAGGAGTTAGGAGAGGAATTGAGAGGGGGAGTTGTATCACTTGTATGAGAATTATGTTCGCCTTATCTGTTTCATTTTATTCACTATAGTTTGGTATTTGTCACTAATCACATAATTTGGTTTCACTATGTTTCCTTGTTTAGTTATTGATATGTAATGTAAAAAGTACTCTATGGTCAAGATATGTCTTATTAGATTCGTCTCAATGTATATTTTCATAATATCAATTTTATAATTCTTACTTCATTATAATTAAAGATATTAATTGTTGACATTATGCATCGACAGATATGAATGTCAATCAAAGTATTGCAAGTAAAATGAAATGGAGGAAAATTTTAGTAAAATTAAATTTTGTATATGCTCGCATAAATTTTAATAAAATTTATAACTTTAAAGAACAAATATAATGAATTACTAAAAATTATTTAAGTTCAGTAAATAACTGATAAATGTCCTTAGAACAAGACTTTAAATTTATTAGTGGAAATAAAAGTCGATAAATAGTAACAACTACGGAATATTTGAGAAAAGTGCGTCAAATATTTAGATACATAAAAAGTATAAGTATTTAAGGGCGGATGAAGTACGTAGAATAAGGGAGTGAGTATAAGGTTTATCTTATGCGATGGTGGGTGGGTGTGTTTGTGGGATGTTGTGTGTACGTATGTACATTCTGTGGTGGTGGGCATTGTTTCTCCATTTTGCTGACCAAAATTAGTCAGAATTAATCAACTCTCTCACACTATCCCACTTTAAAAAAGTTGCTCTCAACTTGAGTTTATTCAATTTAACTTAATGTTTACCGTAATACAGCTCCTCCATTTTTTATTATAAAAACATTCCATGGATGACTTGTAACATTTAATTTTAGAATAAAAGGTACTCCTTTTAATACTGTAGAATTTGAAACATAGAATATAGAAGAATTATTTAAAATATTCTCGTACAATAAAGTAGGGTTTATTTCTTCTTTCTCATTTTTTAAAAATCAAAATACACATTTTTATATTTGTATCCATAAGTACATGCATAATTAGTTGGTCATTACTCCATTCTTTCTCCATTTTTCAATATTTGTATCATTTTAACGTTTTTTTTTGTTTTTTTTTGTTTTTTTTAACACTTTTTCCTAACAAAATGACCATGTATGCAATATGTTTACTAATTATAAGAAAATCAAGTTCATTATTTTAGTTATTGTTAAGCTAATCCCAATAACAAAAATAAATATATAAATAAATAAATTCTCTAGATATTTTAAATCAAAATATGAATTTATAATTTTTTTTTTTTAAAAAAAACATACGAGTAGTAATTAAATATTTGAATGATATGATCAAAGTGGTGTGTTGGCAAATGTGACAAAAAAAAAAATCATGCAACTTATAATAAACGGTGAAAGTATTGATGTACTCAGGATTTATATATTCTCCATTTTCATAGTGCAATTTATATAAGTATCTACGAAGTAATAAAAATGACGGAGGTTAATTAAAAATCTACCTGAAAAATACATTACGTAGTAAAGCCATGTGAAATACTACGTATATATATGTAGACTTTATGTCACTAATGGAGAGATTTATCATGAAAATTTTGGCATCACCTAACATGTTATATTTGTACAAGATTTGAATTAGTAGTATAATCATTGTAACAATGCGGCCACTCCTTGAACTTTAAGCACTCAAACCTCGAATGTAAGCCTAGCTTAGAACTCCTAAATGAAGCAAGGTTGAGTAGGATAAGGCTCGACTATGATTAACAATAATTCGATAGTATAAATTATTTATAAAGTAGTATACTGAATTACTCCCTTTGTCCCATAATACATGATACAGTCAAATATTACACACATGTCAATGCACTATTTCGACTTTATTTTTATATAATTAAATATTAATGAAAATAATTTTAAAAATTATATTATGAAACTTTATATTAAAACCTATCCAACAACATATTTTCTGATAAAATATATTTTTATTATGTTAGTAAGAAGTTATGGTCAAACCTAATGCATGAATAGTGAAAGAAAGTCCAACATCTCATATATTATGGTCAAACCTAATGCATGAATAGTGAAAGAAAGTCCAACATCTCATATATTATGTCTTGATTATCTATTATGAAAAAAATGCTTGCAGCAAACACAAACCGTTATATTATTACAAAGCATTAAAATAAATTGTAGTGCATACAAGAGATGTCTCATAGTGCAATTATTGTCACTATATATAATGTTTTATTTGATTCAACTCATTTAAGTTTCTTTTATATATATATATATATATATATATATATATATATATATATATATATATATATATGTATATGTATGTATATATATATATATATATATGTATGTATGTATGTATGTATGTATGTATTCTTTTTGTGTGTAGAGAGCCACAAGGGTAGGTGACGAGAATCGTTCTTAGGATTACCTAGAATTGGGAGGGGAGCCCTAACCACTTGAGTTATCCCTCCCTCTCTTCTTTTATATTTTGTAAGTATTAGGGTGTAATCTATTCACCTGATTTTCACTTATCTGAACTTATCTGATCTTATCTAAACTTACCTGAACTTATTAGACCTTATTAAAACTTATTATAGTTATAATTTGAATTTGGGCAACCCTTATCAGAACTTATTTTTAACTAAACTTATTAGACCTAAAATAAGTGAAAATAAGGTGAACATAAAAGACTACCCTTAATATATGTTTTTTATGAAACAAAACTTGAACTTAACAAAAAAAGTAAAATACAATAAATTCCACGCAGGATAAGTATCATCAGACAATAGAGGACAAAAACATAAATGTGTCACTCTATTCACTTCATTCTTAAATGCAATACCATCTTCTTCGATTGTACAAAAAGCCATCCATTAATTCATTCTCTAGCTTGACAGCAAAATCCATATTATATGTAAAATAAAACAAGAAGAAGAAGTACGGGTAGTAAATAAATAAAGTTAATTTGACCAAGCAGAGAAACCGTGGCCTAGAAGACAAGACCATAAATTCATAATTTGTCGTCCTTCTCTTTTTATCTCTTCTTTTGTACGTTTCTTAAACGATATTGAGAAAATATTGAAATGGTCCCTTAGCTTTGAAAAATATTGCACCATTTATTATGGGGCTGTTTGACAATCGGCGGTTGGTTGTTGGCTTGTTTGACTAATTGGAAGTATTAACTTAATGGATTGGTTTTTTAAGTTAGTTGTTTAAGCCGGTTGTTTACAAAAGTGTTTGGTAAGATTATTAATGATTGTTAGCTGTTTACTAGTGATAAAGTGGGCCAACAAGCCAAAAGACAATAGAGAAAACCACTCCTATTAGCTTTTGGCGAAAAAGACAGCTTAAAAGCCAACAAAAAAGGCAACAACCAAACATATTTTTTTGGCTGTTTGACCAAACTAAAAAGCCAAAAGCTAAAAGTTAGGCAAAAAGCCAATTGCCAATAAACACCCCCTATATCTTATGTTGTGTGTTTATGATTGAATACATAAATATGGCTATCATGTGAAATCAAGTAAGGAGTAACAATTATCTTATGATAGTTAGACCTTGGCAAAGTAAGTCACTAGTAATTGACACCTTGATTAACACAGCCCAGCAAACTATGTGTTCCATTACTTATGAATTATGATGCTTGGAGTGATCTATTGTATTACACGCCTCCTTTGATTATTACTTCTTTCCAACATTATAGCCATTTCACTTCAAACTCGTTTTTCTTTGATGGTCGTCATGGAGTTGATCATGTGTGTGTGGCGTAAAAATGTATGTATTTTAGTTGTTATTTGATATGTTTTCACTCTGTCATTCGTTTGAGTTTGTTTCATCTCATCATTTTTTTTACTTTGATAAGAATTGTATTGGGTAGGTTCGTATTAAGTGCCCTGTATATGGCGTAATGAATAAATTAGAGAAGATTTGTATGTGGTGTATGGACAACTTTTTAGAATGATCTAAATGAACAAAATTATCTTTAAAGGAACGAGGAGAATATGTAGATATTAAATGTATTAGTGGTTTGATAGTTTGAGGCTAAATGTTAAAAAATTAATTTTCCAAACACTACTAAAAAAAGTTTTTGAAACCTTTGTGAAACACTGCTTGAAAATTTAATGTTGACACAACGATGGCTTAATATTATCTGTTGTTCACTACTCAAAAATTATATATATATATATATATATATATATATATATATATATATATGCAAAGTAAGGAGTTGTTTAATTTGTTCCAACATATATTATCTAATTGTAAACAAAATGAGTTCAAACAAAGTTTTAACACACTCACATATAAGTTTTGTTATAATGAAAATATATATGGATAACATAAGTTATGATAATTAATAATATATCTATTTAAGACAAATCAATCAAACCAAACAAAGCCTAATATCCTAAAGAGATTTTTCATGTAGTTTGATAATCTTAAACAACAAATAAAATATACCTCATCTCGTCGTATTTACAAGTATAATTGAAGTATGACTTGTCACTAGCTAGCATGGCCGAAGTAATCAAATTCAACACACATAATTTTCTTTAATTGCATACTAACATAATAATTAACTAAACTATATTATCTCTATACAGTTCACACTTCAATTCACATGTAATAATAAGTAGGAAGATATCTTAGTTAGTGGTGTATCTTTGTTGTGAAGGTACAGTTAGAAAAGAATATCATAAAATTGAAGAAATAATACTAAGGACTATTTTAGATGGTTACATTCATAGCAACCTGTCAAGATCAAGTAATTAACTAGAAAGTGAGATTAGCTTTTTTGGAACATAAAAGATTTATCTTTTTGACTGAAAAAATAGTTTGTCTATTATGTTACATGTTCATGTTCAAATTCTATTCAACTTTTGCGTAAATAGGAAATAAAATAACTACAAAACTATAATATATAAAAAAAACTTTATTAAATGCTTTTTGTATACATCTTGACTCTTGTCCTTGCTTTCAGAAGCAGTTGTTTACGTCTTCATCATTCTTCTATCTTTAATGTTTTGTTGAAACAATTGAATTGAAATTCAACTCAGATCTTTCCTAGTATGGAGTACTTGAGAGGTAGTCGTTGTAGCTATTGTTTAAAGTTAAATTATGGATACGATTACTTTAATTTTTTTTTTGCATCATGCAAACTGCGAAACTAGTTTTTCCATTTGAGGGGAGGGGGTGTAAATGCTTGAACTATTATGTTCTAAAAAAAGAAAATGTGTATGGACGAAATGTGTCAAATATGGGATTGAGCCACACCCATCCATCATGAGGAGGAAGTGTCCATTCAACACAAAAGATGGTTTCACCTTAAAATATATGAAGTAGTACATACTTCGTATGGGAATAAGGGTAGCTACTTCGTAGCCTTATAAACTAATAAAGTAAACACGTATCTCTTCTATTATCAATGTTTATAATAATCACATATGTTGTTTTATGAGGCTAGAGTTTCAATAGGCTACTAGCAATGTCTTTTGAATAAGGATAATGTTACTTCAAATAAACAAAGCAAGGTGTATGTGACATATAGACAATTTATAAAACTGTAGGACGTACTAATGATATGTCATGATACTTGTTATAGTGTTGTACACAAATATAAGTGTGTCGTGAAAGTTTTTTTTAGTTTGGATCAAATTCATATTCAAGATAATTTCTTTTAATTAAAATGGACTGATTTTGGACTAGACTTGGCTTGTGAATTGAAAATTTGAGATCGAGTTTTGAATTTGGCAAAACCCAACATATAGTCAACTGATTTATACCCATGTACTTTGCTTACTACACTGCTATATACTCCAAAGAACATAAGTAACCAATGAAATCTTTGATCATGTATTATTAAATTAAAAAAACAAAGTTAGAAGTTTGAAAATACATGCTAAAAGACTCAAATAAACGAATATTACAAGATTCTTACATGGATATTTTTTTTCCTTATTTAGCAATAAAAATTCACTGTCAATAATGTATATTGACTTTATAAAAGAAAATGAGGCAAATAAAAAGGAATACAAAAAATTACAAGAAAGAAATATTTCTGATTATTTAAGGAAGTTTTTAATTGATACAACTCCATACAAGTATTTTTGTTTGATCGATTGCATGTCAAATCGAGACGCTACTTTCTTCAACGGAGAACTGTTCTCTGACTTTTGCCTCATTTACAAAATATGAAGTACGTTGTAATACGTTAACATTGAAATGAAACAATTTGCACTGTTTATTCATCGTAGGTTAACACATAATAATTACATATAAATCACGGGTAAACCAAAAACGGTTTCCTTACTATAGCAAGTAGTCCATGTACGAGCATAAAACTTATCAAGTAGTATGAGAAAATGTTGGTGATGTTAACTTTTAAATATTGTAATTCTTGTCATTAAGGTACATTTCATCTCAAGGAGAAGGAGTTCTTTAGTTTTCTTATTGTCATTAGGCTGTAGTTCTTGTCATTAAGCAAGTTATATATACTAAGATATGATTTGAATCTGCTAACCCATGAAATGACCATAAATGCTACGTAGTGAATTGAGGTCCAGGGGCGGCGATGTGTCCTGGTTTGGGGGCTTGGGGTGGAAGTGTGGAACATCAGCTATGGTACGGTTTTCTATTTTAGCCTATTTTTGGGGCTTATTCCTTAGAGCTTAGATTTTGAACTACCTTAGATTATTAACTTAACTCATCTTGTAATACCCTGTATGCATGTGTTATTCTTATGATAGTAAAACTTTTCTCTTGCTGCCAATAAACATAGCTAACATATTATTAGTAAAAACACATAAATTTATGCGTATAAGTGTACTGTGTCTTGCTCTTCGAATTGGTTTTTCACATTTGTTACGACATTGTCACAGAGCAATTATAGAATATATATAGCTACTCTTGTAAAAGTAATGTATACGAATTTTAACTTTTTCAAAGGAAATCCTCTACTCCCAAGCGTAAGCAAATACCAATATATATATTTTTTAAAGGTAAGATGAAAAACCCTACTGAATCAACACCTCTTACAGGTTAAACCAACCTAGTTCCATCAACGCTAAGGGGGGAGGGTAAGGAAATACCCATACTCCCAAGCAAATGTAGTTGGTGGGGCTCGAACTCGTAACCTTAAAGTCACAAGGTGAGTTCTCCTCCAATTCTACCAAGCTTTACTTGGTATTCTGTATCATATACGAGTAATATACCGACCTCGAACTTATAATGCTAGTACATGCGAATAACACGAAGGAAGAAAAGGTGGAAAAGGAAATATATCCGCGGAAGAAGAAAGTGGGACAGAAGAGAATCAAGAGTGTTTGACAAAATACTTAAAAAAAATTGTAAATTAAATGAAGCAAAGTGGTGGTGAAAAGGGAGAAAGGGGGGTTGTCACCGTTTTGTAAAATTGAAGAAAAAAGCGTGCGGTTGCGATGGGATTGGGCGGTCTTTACTTTTTAGTGGCCTTCCGACGATATTTGGGTCCCTTCTTTTACTCTACTGCGCATGCGGAGTACTTGCTCTACGTACCACTACTCTATTCTATATATATATATATATTTTTTTTTTGAAAGAACGTGTTTTCGATTGGCGTTTGATTCGCAAAGAGGTATGAGTTTGAAATCAGGAATGGGGTTAATGTGATATCGGGTTGGAACTTGATACTTAATACCATGTGTTTGGTTCAATTCTGGAATGAAATCTCTCACTATTCTCTCCTTTATTTGATACCTAAGGGAATGGAATAGGCCAAACTCACCTCCCTCCAAGGTTTCTAAACCCCATACCTCATGGGTTTGAGGTATGGGTTTAAAATTCATAATTTTGACAGCCAAACATATGGTATAAGGTTTTAGTCATTCTAAACCCATACCTCATATCTATAATCCGCAAACCAAACGCTCCCTAGAGGTAATCAGATTCATGGGTCAAGCTCGATTAGACTTTAGCCAAATAAAAAAGAGTAAGGTTTGGGTTAGGCTTAATTTTTAACTGTTTAAAATCCAAATTTAATTCAAGCTTACAAAATTCGGGGCGTGCCAACTTTAATCAGGTCTAAATTCTATTTATTTGCCCCGTTGAAGGAGTTAAATTTTATAAAATTTTGACCACAAAGTTTCAGTTATCTATTAGAATTAATACAATAATCGTTTTTTTCGTATTGCCAAAGAATTGAACGACAACTGGTATTTATTAAATTTGTTACAGTGTCTCTGCATGGGTTTGGCCATGCCTAGTTCGCCCTTTAGAAAGTTTTGACATTGCATAAAAGGTAGCAAGTGGACTTAGTTTTGGGCCATGCCTAAAGATGGCACCGTAAAAGCATGACATAGACATGGTGTTGGCACGACACAACACGATACTGTGCATGTTGGGCCGCTTTTATTTAGGAGAAGCACAACAAAACACGCTAAAATCAATGAAGTGTGTGACTTAGGAATGCAAGCACAACCTGGCCCGGCATGATGACAGGGCTTGGACCGACTTTTTGATAATTTTGACCTGATCCGACACGGTACATAACTCATAGACTAGTACAATTTAACTCTAAAGCACGTTGATTGACTAAGCACGAGGCATGACCCACATCCATCTTCAGTTAGGCTCGAGGTTTTTTTTTTTTTTTTTTTTAGTTAGATCATATTCAAGTTGTGCTCGTGAAAGTTTCTAAGATGATGTACTTTTGCAAAAAACTTTAGAGAACCAAGTTCACATTTTTTAAGGGACCAAAGTCTCCATTTCTGTTTTTTGGTTTGGGGGGGGGGGGTGTTCCTTTACAACTAACCTTAGGCTTTTTTTAGTTAATTGTTCTACAGAATATGAGATGTTCTATGTATCTCATTGCAAGAACAAAATTATAAAAACACAGGCTAATTGGGCAAAAATAAATCAAGGCAACTGTTACAGAAACCAACGTCCAAACTGGAGAAAGATCAATTATAGCCATTCTCAAATTTATGTCCCAAGGTTTTTACATTTTCTTTCTTGATCCTAATTTGTTGAATTGCTACCTAAAAATAGTTTGAACGTTGCTTAATCCACATCAAATAGGTGTACCCAGGTTGATAAAATTTACATAGGAAGTTGTTGGTGAGTATATACCCTTTTAAATTTTTTCCAAGGGTTGATCAATTTGCATCCTTAAGGCAACGTTGTGCATGTTGGTTTTTACAGCACACGATATGAACTGATTGTTCTTGATCATGCTTCAGAATTTTGGTTCGTATATGCGAAAGTTATGTTGTAGTCCACGTAAAAATGCAGCTTACTAATGAAGTTGTACAATTTCGAGGTGGTTTATTTTTTTCATGTTCTTATGATGTGCTACATTATATTGAATGGTCGCGTGTGTACAATTTCTAAGTTAGAAGGCTGATCAATGTCAATGTGATATATTTTGACATTGAATTCATGTTTGATGATGAGGTAGCGATTGGAAGGAATAGAGTTAACAGATAATGTAAGGGAAATTATGGTTAATTCATGTATAGAACATGATGATTTTTTTGACGCCCTTGAAGAGATTTCTTCAGAATCTAGTTGTGGTAGTGGATCAGATTGTTCTGAAGGCTGTACTTCTGAAATTCAACAAGCTAGTAATAATTCATTTAATAGTCTGCACTATGATTTTTGGAGTGGAAACCCCAAAAGTATTGATGAACGACGTGATGATTTTATAAGAACAACGACTTTTGTTTTAGATCGGTGCTAAACTGCAAGAGAAGGGCCTGATGATTCTTGTGTGATCACAGTGAGTAGTGACAGGACGGCAGGAGCTAATGAGCATGACAAAGGGAAGGGATTGGCTGGTCGGAATCATGAAGTAGTAAATGAAGAAGATCAGGATGTGTTGTGCAGAATTCGGTGCTTGGAAGATGGGAGAGAGTTTGAAGTAGAGGAGACAGATGATGAAGGAATGCCTAGGAAACTTCATGAAGTTGGTTCGAGTTCTTGTTATACAACTGATGAGTTTCAGGAGACATATGGATCACCTAATCTTGTTAAACACTTCATGACAAGAGAATCATCAAAAGGGTGTAATAAGGTGTTTAAGAGGAAATTGCAGTGCAAGGAAGGGTGTTTGAAGAGATTTAGCTTCAAAGCTGCAAATATGTTTAACAAAGATAAGGAAAAGAATGAGGTGTTTCACAACCGGGAACTCTTTGGTTCTAGAAGCCAGAAAATTCATGTTCATTCTCACAAAAAGTGGTCAAAGGAGTTGTCTTCCATGTATCATATGCAAGAATTTTCTGCTCACAAGGGCTCAATACTGTGTATGAAGTTCAGTCTTGACGGCCAATATCTTGCCAATGGTGGAGAAGATGGAGCTTTGAACGTATGGAAGATAGTTGAAGAGGGATGGATGACTGTTTCTGACCATTTGAACTTCAGTGTTGCATCTGCAGGTTTGAATTTTTCTGTAAATGGTATTCCAAAATTGGCTTGCTTTCTGAAGTGTAAAGAGGAAGGCAATGTGAAGAATAAGCAGAAGAAATGTGCACTCTGCTGGCAACGGTATTATGGTCCCTCGCAAAGTGTTTCGTATTTTAGAGAAGCCTTGGCATGAGTTCCGCGAACATGAGGGTGAGATCCCGGATATCTCATGGTCTAAGAATGGGGTTAGTATGGAACTAATTTAGAAAAATGATATATAGAGTTATGGTTGCTTACAATCTGTTAGGTTAGTGATCATAGAGGAAAGCGGAGGGGTAGGGAGGGAAAGGTGGTAAAAAGTGGAGTGAGCTTGCATTTTCTTTCCAATATCCCTCTTTTTTCTTCTCATCCCTCTTCTTCCTTTAAATACGCTCATTCAAACGTACCTTTAAAAATTCTAATTGTTCGCAATAATCAACTGCAGTGTTGCTATGAATAATCTGTGTGTGGATCTCTATGAACTCCTTGTTTACCTTCAATGCAGCATTTGCTGTCATCATCGGTTGATAAGACAGTGCGCCTGTGGAAAGTGGGATATAGCCGATGTTTAAAAGTTTTTCCTCACAATGATTTTGGTAATATGAAGTTCATGTTTCTGCTAGACGCGATTTTTCTTTATCTTAAACCAAATGTTTTTCTCCGTCATTGTCTTGACAATAACCTTTTGACTCTTTTTCATTCCATTTATGTAGTAACTTGTGCACAGTTCAATCCCACTAATGACAATAACTTCATAAGCGGTTCTATAGATGGAAAAGTCCGCATCTGGGATGTCCTAAGACGTCAAGTGGTTGACTGGATTGATATGAAGGAAATCGTCACTGCTGTTTGCTATCGTCCTGATGGAAAGGTCAATATAGCAGTTAGCTTCTCTCTTAGCCCTCTCTCTAAGTTATATCGGAAATTTCATGAGATTTTTTGCCAAATTACAGGGTGGTATTGTTGGATCAATGGTTGGAAACTGCTCATTTTTTGAAATCGCAGGTTATGTTTCTTACACCTGTGCTAAGTCATCTGATGCTAAATTTCATCAGAATTGCCAATTAGCATGAAACTACATATAAGCTTGTTTTTGGTAGATAAAAAAGAAATTTTATGTCCTCTTTTGTACACTTTAGCATAATTTTCATGTTTGTTTGAGTACTTTACCTAGTGTCTACAAGATTGGTTTGTTCGGTTATTATGTTTTTCGCTAATATTCATTCTTCATTCCTTCCATTTCTATCAAACTTTAGCCGCCTGGTATAGGGTTACAGATCTTTGATTTTTTTTTTCGTATTTGAATTCAGAAAATTGCTGATACAATATTGCATGCACCAGATGATATTATGCATCGAGCATCTGTTATGTACTTGCAAGACAAGAAGAAGACAACTTGCAAGAGGATAACTAGTTTCCAGGTTACAAGCTTTTTCATTTTTCTTTCTGCATATATTTCTTTTCTTTTCTTTTCTGTTCTTTCTTTCTGCATTTATTTTTTAATTTCATGTCTAATTTGTCTTTTCTTATCACAGTTTTCTCCAAGTAACCCAAGTGAAGTAGTAGTCAGCTCGAATGACTCTCTAGTCCGAATTCTCAAGGGAGCTGATATCATCTGTAAGCTTAGAGGTTGGTAGTCGTAACATCAACTCTGATTTTCAATTGAGGATCATCACTGAATGACTGAATCATACAGTAGTTCATAATTGTTGAGCAATATAAGACTCTCTCTTAGTTGTATCAATTTTGTTCTATTAGGTTGTGTTTCACTAATTGATCGAAGAAGCAAAGTATATGCATCTTTCACTGCTGATGGGAAACACATCATCTCAGCTACTGACGATTCAAATGCTTATATCTGGAGTCATATTAACAATGAGAGAACTACAAACAGCAAACCCAAAAACATTTGGTCTTCTGAAAGTTTCTCATCTCCCAATGCTCTAATCGCAGTACCATGGCATGGTTTTACATCCAACCCAGATATAAAATCCTCAACGACTAGACAACCTAGTACACCAAGACATAAGCAGGAATCTTCTGTTTCAAGTGGCAACTACTGTTCTGTGAAGAAGGATAAAGGGTCATCAACAGCTGTTTTGCCTGCCAAAGGAGACATTGATTACGAGTTCTTGAGGAATGTATGTGAGAGCATATTGAGTGGCTCACACATGTGGGGGCTTGTGATAGTAACTGGAGGTAAAGATGGTTTCATAAGAACATATCATAATTATGGACTACCTGTTCGATGTCCAACAGGGAAATCCCTCAAATCCTCATTCTCTTTATCTAATTTTAGATACCGATGCATAGAAAACTGCAGTAGCTTAGGAAGTTCAACTAGTTTTGATTGATAGTTTAGACAGCAGAAGGTAGGATTAAGCATCAGTAGGTTGTTGAATATTACATTATTACCACATAGGGGTATTTCTGATGCCTGGATTAGTAAATTTTATATTTAAAGAATTTACTTCTGCTCAGATGTGATTACTTTGTCTAGTGACCATAGTATCAACTGATTCAGTTCCTCGTTTTTATTATACAATTTTTCTGGGCAACTGAGTGACTTGAAAATCTTATTTGAGATTCTCTGTCATACTATTATAATAGAAATCAAGAAAGGAGCAAACACCATTCTCGAGTCTGCTCTCGTGTATTGGTGGATACTGGATAGTTGTGGTGACCTAATAATGAAAGGGTCAAGCATCAGAGGCCAGGAGAGTGGCCGAAGGAAGCCTTTTGGAAATTAGCTAGGCAAAGCAAACCCTTCTGTTTCTTCCTTTTATGTTTTTTTTACACTTTCATATGGAATATATATATATATATATATATATATATATATATATATATATATATATATATATATATATATATATATATATATATATATATATATATATATATATATATATATATATATATATATATATATATTTTTTTTTTTTTACGTTTTGTAAGAGCCTGTAATTGATATGTAAACATACCAACTCACCAAATGCAACAATTCACCCAAATTGACAGCTCTACTCTAAGATTAGTATTCAGTATCAAACCCTCCGTGAAAAAAGAGAACCGAAGAAAAATTACTGTAATGTGGAAATAAATCATGACTCATGTTTATACATGTAACAAGTTCAAAAAAGCATTCTTCGTATAGCATGATAGGAAAAAAATAGAGTAATATGTGACAGGAAAAAGATAAGGTAAAATATGGTGGTAAACTTATATACATGATACATGAAGTGAAAGGAGATTTAAAGATCTTGCAATCACCTGGAGCAGCTCTTCTGGATAGTCCGCTAGATTGCTAGAAGCCTGATGCACCTGAGATTCACAAAGGTAAAGGCACACCAAGAACATGTTAGCCCGCATCTTTAAATATAGTCAATCTGAACTTGCACTCTCCAGTAACTTGACAGAGGATCAAGCAAATCCGAGGCCAACAGTCACAACTGAGATTTTTGTCCCAATAAGGTCTTCATAGTTAATTTGGGGCACACAATCTTTCTTTTTCCCCAAAAAAATTTCCTCCACTATGATACCCAAATTGAGCCATGGAGTCACTATAAGACTCCAGTCTCAATAGTGGCTACATGTATCTTGCAAAGGATAAAATGTAAGCATCTAACACGAATCAATGTGCTGCAATCTTGAATCAGACTGAATTCAAGAAAGATGCTACTCTCCATTACTATAGGCTTCACCTACAAAGGCCACAAATCCCCCCATAAAGACTTCCGAGCTTGATGATGTAAGGTTGGATTTTTCGCCCGAGTAACGACCAAATGATCAAATGAGCCTTCTGAACCATCATGCTTGGTAGCCCTACATACATCCATTTCAACACGTCTACCCCTCTTTTGAGGCATGAAGATTATTCTACCCCAACCACTTCCCAGATCTGCACGGCTTGATTGCTCTCCTTCCTCTTCGTCTTCATGCTCAATATCCGTATCAGATTCAGTTGCATCAGAATCATATGAAGGAGGAGCCTCAGAGAGAACAATCTCATCAGGTTCTAGCTCAGATTGGTCCTCTGTGGCAACAGAAGAGTTCAACAGCATCAGAATTCATTAGTGACTCACTAAGACAAGCTGCGCTAACCAGAAAAGAATGTATCAACTTTTCCTTCACCTGTTGGGCTAAATGCCAACAAAGCAACCAGGCTACACTATGCAAATCCTCAAACGCAATTTAAAGGCCCTCAAAACTGGACAAAAGTTTTAAATTATTCTAGATAACGATTTCACAAAAGTTTTAAATTATTCTAGATAACGATTCCTAGAGGGAAAATAAATGGTGTAGGTAATGTCCAAGCAATGTTATAGTTATACACAATAAATTGTATAGCAATAAGACGTTAACTAACTAAAAACATGAACACAAGACTTGAGCAAGCCTGGGTCTAAGAAATGTACTGTGTTTAGAGATGTAGTTCCTTGTTCAAGATACAAAATTTACCATATTTAGTCTTAGGAAGTAGAAATTCCTATTTCATTCTCTAATAGTCTAATAGCTAAGCCTTGTTCTTTAACACGAATAAAAATAACCTAGCCCTAAGAAAAGAAGTGTAGACTACCTACCTCACTAAAGAAATCCTTAAGTATTGATAACCCAGCATAAAGCAAGCCTGCTACAAAGCTTACCAAATCCAGAAAGAAAGGTTGCAATAGTGTACAAGACTACAAGCAGCTATAGATTTCTTTTAGGGGCCTCAAGAAGACAAAACCTGAGCACTAGAACTTGAGAAAGAAATAATACTATTGTCAAATTCAAGGAAACTTCCCACTTTGCTCATGATGTTTCATCCCTAATATTTTTTTTGGCAATTAAATTTTATTACTTGCCAAAAAAAGACAATCCAAACCAGAGTTTAAAAAGTAAAACCAGACCAAATACCAAGCCTGAAAAGCATCACTATGACAATCGTTCCTCCTTGGAAGGTTTGAAGAAAATACTCTATATGCAAAGCTAAAAGAAAAAATTCCTGCTATTTTGTAATTTTTGGTTCCCAATTAGCAACAAAAGGGGAAGATCAAATTGAACATGTGTTGAATGAGCTTCCAAATACAAGGATTTGTCAATCTTAGTCATTCTAGGAATGTAATCCCAACTCCTGCCTCTAAGGTGATCATCTTATATATATAAGTTTAGTTTTGGGGACTGTTGATAGTCTCCTTATCCTTTCATTGTTGTTTGTACTGTTAAAATTCTTACTGATTTTAATATATAAACAGTACAGAAAGATTTTAATACCTTTTCAGCTTTTTTGTAAATTATACTTCTATATTGTTTGAATCAACATCACCCTAAAATATTTTTCAGCTTTTTGTGAATTATAGATTATAGATTGTTTGAATCAAAAATACACTTCTGCTTATTAAATTTCATCCTTCAGCAATTGCCATTGCTTCCTTTTCAAAAATGTTATCGCCTCATATAAAATGCTATCAACATTACTCTCATTGACTCATTGCTAGTTTGCTAGTATTGGTTAAGAAAATGTTTCAACTAGGGCATTTAGTGAAGGATCAGAAGTATAAAGTACTCGAGAAAAGAGAATCAACAGAATCATCAGTCTAGATCACAAGGAAAAAGTCCTTGGAAAGCCTGGAATGCTGATGACAACACGAGTAAAAGACCTCAGTATAGAGCATATAAATTAGGTTTCCTAATTCACTATGTTGTCAATAATAGAGGATGGTCTACCCTACCCAATGGATCTCAATTTCATTACTACATCAGCCACTAATGCAACCAATGGAATGAAAGCTTCCAAGATTTGCATGCTACGATGTACTTATTTGTTAGGGGCTGTATCTATCAGTAAGCCCTCAAGAGATTAAAACCATGGGTTTCAGTCATTGGCCTTATCCATCTTGAAGTACATGAACCAATATAGAATTAGTACCAAATCATAAAAATAATTTACAACAACCATGATCTATTTATAAATTGATCAAGTATAAAAGAACCAGTAAACCACGATAGAATAAGTTTGCGGGTGAACACGGTATACAAATCTCTACCTTTCCCCAGTTGTTTGTAGTGCAGAAAAACAAGAGGTAATAATCAATAGAAAAGAGAAAATGACTCTGATAGGCATAGGCATCTCATGTTAAGCTAAAAGGTAAGCTTGAGCCTGGAGGCTCTTGCATTCACAACCATTATCAGGAAGCTGAGACTTCCCGCAGGCTCTCGCATTTACAACCATTAGATTATTAGACTTTGCTTTTAGCAGATTAAACATTATTTAAGAAAATTTCCAGAAATAACATTTTTGGCCAACTAAAAAGCTAGCTGGGCAGATGGGACCTTTGGGGCCTTGGGGAGTAATCATTGCATATTTGTGGACCAATGCACTTTCCTCTTGGCTCTCACAATAAAGTAGTTATCAATTTTGTTTGGAAGGAAACTGAATAATAGTTGTGAAAGGTAGGAGCAATGATCTGGATCTCTAGGAAAATAAAATAATTATGCAGATAAAGGAGCGTATAAGAGATGCGTACCATAATCAATTTCAAGTTCCTCGGGAATTCTTTTGGCACGCAGTTCTTTTAAGGTCTCAAACTTAATTCCGTCAAGAGGCCAAGGATCCCTGTTCAGTAATTTATAAAAAATTAAAAATTAAAAAAAAATTAAAAATTAAAAATTAAAAAAAAAAAAAAACTTCATTCACCATGGAATTCAAACCTTCACATCAAGAACAATCAATAGCAAGGAAGAAGTGGAAAGAATGGCTCGCATTGGATTATTGGAAACAAATTAACAGAATGTATTGCAGCAGCCACAAGCAAATTATGTAGCTTGTCTTCCATGATAAGCTCCCATTTGCCTTTCTTCCTACCATTGTTACCCCAACACCCCGAATTCCACATAGTATCCGAGTCTTGGCACAGATCATGATATCAGACACCTCAAATGGATATAGTAACTTGGGTATGCACTTTGAAAGATTATAGGAAAACGTAGAATAGCAAAGCTTCATATTAAAATGGCTACTTTATCTTGCACCCAACCATCTTTTTCAAAGTTTTCTTAAACAACGGATCTATAGAGAGTAGAGCAAAAATAAACAATGGTAGTATATCATAATGAAATTTAATTACAAGTGTAAAGCTTAAGCGTAAAATACTCACTGCGGTCTTTTTCCTCGTCTCAATACCACATAGGAAAATTTCTCATCCTCAAATCCACGTAAAGGTGAACCGTTTGATCTCTGCAAGACAATAACAAACACAAAAGCTTGATCACAACATAGCTCACTTTAATATATTTCAGTAATTTCACCCCTCTAATACACTGATTTGGTTTCTATTAGAAACACTGCCCTACTCTTTCCATCTCAAAGACAACCACATAGAACAAAAAAAGTAGGTGCTTAATGGTCTTTCCTTAAACACTTGAACCCTCAACCATATCAGAATCTTAACCCAGGGTAACTCCTAGTATACCCAATCAAAATGATTTGTATAAATATAAATAATACTACTGTAGTACAATGGTTTGGTCCTGACTTGGTGTCAACCTATTAAAGCTAGTATACCCAATCAAATATGATCTGCATAAAGAATACTACAGTGGATTAGTCCCGACTTGATGTCAACCAACTAAAAATGATAATGCTCCAAGCTTAAAATATATGCTAAACAACATTTTGAAAAGCCAACTTGGGAATTAAATATTTAATGAGAACCTTGAATGCACGTTGCGACTCTGTTCTCTCTAGTCGCTGAACAAAATGACAATATTTTCCACTCTTTGCCAGAGGACAAGTTCCATCGTGTGGACACTGTGACAAAAACATGTAACAAAGGTAAATAATCTCTTCTTGTCATGTTTTGGTATGGGAGCAAGGAAGAGAGAAAAACGCAAAGTTATAGAGTCATATACTCACAGGAGCAATCACAAATGCTCCAACACTGGAAGCTTCTAAGTTTTCTGCCGCACCATTAGTTTTACGCAATTTAGCTTCAAGTTTACGCCGTTTCTAGAAATGAAACCACACAAGTAATGTTATACAAATAAAAAAAAATAAGTCAAAGGGAGCATAATAGACATATAAAGATGATTATCATAAGTACGTGTAGAAGGATGAGAATCACCCATAACCAGATAGCTCTACTGGCTCATACTTTTAGATTCACTAAGAGCCCGTGTCAGACATAGATTTTGAAACAAGCACATCATTGTGAAACCAAAATATGCAAGGTTTCTAAAAATTGCCACCACGACGCATATCTATGTCTGGCCCGAGTGGTTGAGTCTGAGTAACATAGCCCCAACATATCCTAGAGGGTACTGACACAAATCATGCACCATAACACACAACTTACCCTCTTCTCCATCCATAAAATATGTGATCGCATTTGAGATATAATATTAAACCCTTCAGGTGTGCCTGGTTCAACAAGTACCTAACATGCAGTGAAGAAACAGGAATGTAATTAGCGTAAATAAAATTCCAAGTTTTTAAGTCTAAAATACAAACAAAAAACCAAGGTAGCTAGACAAAGTAAAGTTTTTAAGACTTTGAACTTTTGAAGCATCTCCCTCAACAAGAAAAATAGCATCTCATTCCCACAATATATTGGCATGAAAGCAAGGACTTTAGCTCAGCCATGAGTTTCAAAATACCAGAATATCTCGAGTAAGACCCCATAGTTGACGCACAATAGCAATCCTATCCTTCAGTGATGGAATCTCTCCAAGAACATAGGACTTCAAAGCAAAGGGTCATGCAATAACAAAAGAAGCAAACATGAATAGCAGCACAAATTGTAGTTTATAGTGACAAAACAAACAAACATTACAATGCAGCATTTGAGATAAACTACAGTATGTCACTATGTAGTAACTTACAGCAATGACAAGGTCATGTGCCCTTTCAGCCTTCTTGATATCCTGAGTTAAGGATTGAATTTTACTGTAGCTGTGAATAAGTGGCAAGTCCTTGATATCTAAGGAAAGAATATATGTTTGAATCAAGAATAAACCTTAATGCAATGCATCCAATAGGCAATAAAGTTCACTAATTACCTCGTACAAGACTAACACCAGCACGTTGCATTGATTGAGAGGGCTCAATCAGATTGATCCGTTCCAATGACTTCGGCCAAACCTCTCTCAACGCCCTGCACAATATCATCCACAAAACAATTTCAACACCAACAAACAACTACTACAGCACTCCACCAAGATTGCAAAATCAAAGAAATAGATTCTCACCAAAAAGCCGAGCCAGTACCAGACCCAAAGTCCAACACATTAACAGGAGAAAATTCAGGCACCCTTCTTTTTATCTACAAACATCAACAAATCCCATTTGTCATAAACACCTAAATTAAGATTTGACACAAATGCAAACCCTATCCATATCCTTGAAACTAAACCAGTGTTGCTAAATTCACAAGATAAATTTGGTACTCGTTACTTTTCGCCGAATTCAACAAAACTAGGTAGCGAAATACGTTCCTATGCCCACTTTCATACCACGAATGGTATTACACTGACCTAAACATTAAGAGCATCTCCAAGTATAACATCAACAATCAAACAATAGCAATAAATTTGTGAAAAGAAATAATCACCTCACGTAAGATTCTATAACAAGCAGAATAAACAGCAGGCATTCGAGTGGCAACATAAGCAACAGTCTCATCATCAGTATAAGTTAATCCAATATCACCGTATTCACTCTTGATTTTCCACCTCTTTGATTGTTCCATCGACTTCAATGGATCCTCAACAAGCTCCTTTGAAATCGACATTGGAAGCAACCGATTAACATCCTTAATTTCCGCAAATGATGCTGATAATCTCAGCACTTTCTTCTTCATGTGCCCCATTTCTTGCTCTAATTAATCAATTGAACATTAAATTAAATTAATTTCAGCTCGAATTTGAACTTTTTTCCACAAATTGAAGGAGAGAGAAAATGAAGGACAAACCTTGAAGATATTTTTCAATGGCGCGGCGAAGACGAACGGGGATTACGAGGCATTTTGACGATTGTTTCGCCGCCGAACGGATACTTTCCGACGTAATTAGTCGGCGGGAAGTTTCCGGTATTAACGCTGACATTTTTTTCGCCGGAGAAGGGTTTTAGGAGAGTGAAGGGTTTTAGCTTGGTTCTTACAAACAGTTGGTGAAATGAGGTTGAAGATGTGTCCCAGTGAGAGGGTGAATTTGGGTCGGCCCATCATTTTAGGGTATTATGATTTGAGGATTGATCCAAAATGAATAGAGCCTGGCCCAAACCATATATGGTCCAAGAAGTATACTTGCTTAAGATCGATAGGTTGCTGGGTTGGTCTCCTAATAGCAACGGATTGATATGCACTAAAAACACACGCAAAATGGCTTGGACTTGGAGAAGAAATGGCATAGAATATTTTCTGCGTGCCTAGCCTACGCAATGGTTTTTGGAAAAGCATGATAAGACACGACATGACTCAACATGAAAAGCGGAAAAGCACGCTAAAACAAGTAATTACTAAATAAAAAAAAATAAAAAAATAAAAAAACTATTTAGGATTGATACTGAAAATTTGAAATATTATGGATGTCAACTAGTTTAGTTGTTTAAAGTTTAGAAATGATACCCAACATTTAAGATCAAAGATCGGTTTCGCCTATACGAAATATATATAAATAAATAAATCAATATAAGTGATCCAAGTGCTATTTAGTCCACTAAGTTTTGGGCCCATCAAACATATAACACATGAAGATGGGTAAGGAGATGGACATGTCTGTGAAACAGGGCTCACCCCCCCCCCCCATCATCATTAGATAACTACCACTTTATCTTCTAAGACAAACCAAAGTGGACGACTACTAAGGTGGAAGGTAGCCTGTTACATTACTCAGATTGAAAGATAGAGTATAATCTATAAACACAAAAACAAATAAAAACAAGCTAAACTTAAATTAGTTAAGGTAGTAGTAAAAGGAAATGGAAATGTGTAAGCTCAATGTTTGGAGGGAGATTATCCTAGGCTATTATGCACCCGACTGTACTTAGTTCTATTATGGTTATTTGATGTTATCTAGATTAATTAGAAAATGGTATTGTGTCTATGTAGATAAGAATGTACATGCTTAGAGAGTTAGGAGCATGATAGATTTTTGTAACGTTTAGAGATAATCAATTGATTTATAACCGCCATATACATACTTAATAAGGCTACTCGTATATCTACATTTCAACACTACGCGGTGATAGTACGTTCTCCATGCATTGCATGTAATTTTTTATATTCATAATCAAAGATTTGTGTTGAAAAATGTGAAGAAGAAAAAAGTATGGCAAAAAGACGACATGAAATATTATGCGACATCCAAAATGGCAAAATGAAATATTGACACTATATTAAGAAACAAATGCATATACAAATATTGTACAAATTATATTCCAACTATTATACTGTTACAATTTTAAACAAATAACTAAGGGCTTGTTTAACATTTTTTTTTCTGATTTTTTAAAAACAAAAAACCAAAAAGGAAACAAAAAAAAAAGGTGTTTTGTTGTCAGTTTTCAATATTATCATGATTTTAGTAAGTTTGACCATTTTTTATTTCATTACATGACATATATCATATGATTTTAAAAACAAAAAACAGAAAACCAAAAAAATATCAAACAAACCTAAGATATGAAGACAATATAATGAGACAAGACACCTAATTTATGAGAATGGATATACATGTAAACCATTAAATAAGGTCAAAATCAATAGTAGGCAACTAGGCATGCATAGGCGCTTTGAATGACATTAACCCTTGGAGAATGTAGCTTTACTCATTTGTCAATCTCATCTTGTCGGTGAAAAAACATTGACCACATAAAACCAAAATAAAGGAAGAAACTAAAGCCAACTAATTGATCGTATTCTAAACTAGATAATCAAATACGAAGTAGAATAATTGCATTAAGGTCAAACATTACATTCAAAGATTTGATTTTGATGCTAACCCTAACAAATTATATATATATATATATATATATATATATATATATATATATATATATATATATATATATATATATATATATATATATATATATATATATATATAAGAATAATACTCTACTAATAAACTAGACTTCTACTACTATATAATACAATTAGTTGGCACCACAACTCATTAATCTCATCATATTATTGGAACAAAAGCTATCTAATTACCAAAAAATTAATATAAATTGTCTAAAAAATTGTAAAAATACCTCATAAGTCAAAGATAATACGAGTGGAAAAATGATCACCAATAATAGCAAACGACAAAGAAATACTTGCTTGGTTTGCATGTCTTTCTTAAAATAAATAATTATAGAACAAATAATTAAAAGATGCGCTTTGGTAAAATTAAATTGGTCCATAACTTATATATATGACCTAAGTTGTTCATTTACTACGTATAGTGCAAGCTAGATATATATAGGTAGCTAGTACTTGTTACAAATTGAAGTTGTGAATATGAATTGAGGAGCAAGATAGTAGTATACCTAGAGAGTAGAGAACCACGATTTTATTACTAGTTAGCCTTTGATAGTGACAACTAATTAAACATCTTATTAATGAATAAATTTATGGTCATTTATATGGTACTTTTTTCTCCATTATTTCGAATAATGTGATATTTGTTCGTGTGTGTTGTCTCTTTTACGCGCCTAGCTAGAGGCTATAATTTTGGTTCCGTTTCCTCATATGAGTGTATGACTTATGAGGCAGGGGCGGACCCAATTAAGTGACATGGGGGGACAGCTAATTTAAAAAAAAATTAAAAAAAAAAAAAAAAAGCAAAACAAATCGCACAGCGCTGCTCCATTTCAATCTTCACTCCAATTCGCCATTACCACTACTCCACTAGTCCACTGCGTCGCTGCTCCACCATTCCACCAACCGGCGACCGTCGAGGCTTCGTGCGTGCGTGGTGCGTCGCTGCTCCTGTGCGGCTGTGCTCCATCTTCAGTCTTCGCTGCAGGCGCGTGCGTGAGTGCGTCAGGCGTCACTGGCTCGCTGCTCCACCGACCACCGACCACCGCCTGTCCGCCTTGGCCCCTGGGTTCCTCACCACTCGCTGAGTCGCTGCTAAACTTATGGTATGTCTTGCTAAGTTGCTAACCCTAATTCGAATTTCGAAATTCCCAATTTGTTAATTTGAAATCCCCAATTCACCAATTGTTAACCCTAATTTCCAGATTTTTGTTGAATTATTTTAATTTTAATTGCAATATTTGTTGAATTTTAATTTTAATTGCAATTTTAATGTTAGGTTTTATAGTATGCATTTATGCAATGATGTGAATTGTGGAAATTCCGAAATTGAATAATTGATATATATTTTTTAATGTAATTAGGAAATGTCAAATGATTCACCTAATTCAAACAAATCCAAGGCTACTAGAAAACAACCCGATCTTCGACAATTCTTGTCTAAAAGAAAGAAACTCCATGAAAATGAGTCCAATAACTCCCCTTCATTAAGCCCCCCTCAAAGTCAAGAAGATGATATGGAAATGGGTGGTTCAAGTACTTGTAATGTACCATTGGAGGAAAATTTGGTATACGATGTTGAACTTCTTCCTCATGATCCGAGAAAAAGAATAAACATAATGGATTGCCCCGCAAATGAACGAAATGCAGTTAGGAGGGGTTATATTCTTAAAAAACCTTGCCAACCAAAAACTCATGACTTTCCTCAAAGACAAGTGTCTGGTTTACGTCGCTTTAGTGTTCATTGGTTCAAGAAATGGGATTGGCTTGAGTATAGTATTGAAAAAGATGCTGCATTTTGTTTTGTATGTTACTTGTTCAAGAATGAAGTTGATAGTTATTCGGGGGGTGATGCATTTGTTGATGGAGGATTTAGGGCATGGAATAAACCGGAAAGATTTGAGAAGCATGTTGGTGGAATTAACAGTGTTCATAATCTTGCTTATGAGAAATATGTGAATTTAAGAGATGGAAAAAAAAAATCAATCTTGAATGTTTTTGACAATGCAAGTGAGGTGATTAAAAGTGAATATTTTATCCGCTTGAATGCATCTTTAACTTGTTTAAGGTTTCTTTTGGGGCAAGGTTTGGCATTTCGTGGACATGATGAAAGCGGGGAGTCATATAATAGGGGTAATTTCCTTGAGCTTTTGAAATGGTTAGGAGAAAAGGTTGAGGAAGTAAGACAACATACTCTTGAAAATGCACCTAAAAATTGTCAAATGATTTCCCCTTCTATTCAAAAGGACATTATTAATTGTTGTGCCAAAGAAACAACTAGGTGCATAATAGAAGAAGTTGGTGATGATTACTTTGCCATATTAGCCGATGAGTCAAATGATGTGTCCCAAAAAGAACAACTAGCTCTTGTTTTGCGCTTTGTTAATAGAGATAGTGGAAAGGTAATGGAGCGATTTTTAGGCATTGTTCATGTTGGTAATACTACCGCTTTAACTCTTAAAGATGCAATCATGTCTTTACTTGTTGAACATTCATTGAGTCCATCTATGATAAGGGGGCAAGGGTACGATGGAGCTAGCAACATGAAAGGTGAAATAAATGGTCTTAAGACTTTGATTATGAATGATACTCCAAGTGCCTACTACGTACATTGTTTTGCTCATCAACTTCAACTAACACTAGTTGTCATTGCTAAAAAGAATGATAGTTGTGGTTGTCTTTTTGAGATACTTGCAAATTTATTGAATGTGGTTGGAGTTTCTTGCAAGAGAAGAGAAATGATTCGACAAGATCAAGCTCAAGAAGTTGCTCGAGCATTGGATGTAGGGGATATTGTGAGTGGATCGGGTTTAAATCAAGAACTTGGTTTGAAAAGGCCCGGGGATACTCGTTGGAGTTCTTATTACAAGTCTATTTCAAACATCATCCTCTTATTTCCTACAATTGTTAAGGTACTTGTACACATTGGGAAGCATGGTGTATCGGAAGATAAGTTCAAAGCTCAAATTGTTTTAGGACAATTAGAGTCATTTGACTTTGTTTTTATTGCTCACTTGATGTTGACTATTTTTGGTTACACTAATGATTTGTGTGTTGCTTTGCAAAGAAAGAAGCAAGATATTGTAAATGCCATGGAACTTGTCACTTACACAAAATTGGTGTTGCAAAAAATGAGGGAGCAAGGATGGGATACTCTCTTAAACAAGGTAACTTCATTTTGTGCTAAACATGGTATTGTTGTTCCCACTATGGATTCTCCTTATGTTCCTCAAGGAAGATCAAGACGTTTTGTTGAAGAAGCAACAAATGAACATCATTTTCGGGTTGAAATTTTTGTAAGAGTGATTGATTTGCATCTTCAAGAACTTGATGATCGATTTAATGAGAGGAATATGGAGATACTAATATGTATGGCTTGTTTAAGTCCTAAAGATAACTTCTCATCCTTTGATAAAGATAAGGTACTTAAACTTGCCTCTTTTTATCCCGAAGAATTTTCAAGCTTTGATTTGATGGCTCTTGAATGTCATCTTGATATATTCATGGAGAATATGCTAAATGATGATAGATTTCAAGGTATAAATGACCTTAACTCTCTTTCTATGATGCTTGTTAAAACTAATAAGCATAAGACTTTTCCTCTTATTCATTTGCTTATCAAGTTGATGTTGATTCTTCCGGTTGCCACGACAAGTGTTGAAAGAGTCTTTTCCGCAATGACATGTGTCAAAAATAAGTTGCGAAATAGCATGGGTGATCAACTTATGAATGATTGTTTGGTCACTTTTATTGAGAAGGATGTCT